TGGTCGACGAACAGTGGACGGGAGAAGAGAGAAGACGATCGCAGATAAAGGGTTTGCCCAAAAATCGGGCATGCTATCTTTCTTGTAAAGAGTGAAGGTTACAAGTGAAATAACAAAATTGCCCCTGCAATATAATATTGAAAAATGAGTTAGCGGCTAAATGGTAACGGAGTGAACCGAATAACTAAACATTAAAAGTTTTAAAACCACAATGACTATTCGTGAGGTTTTCTAAAATTAGAGGTCAAACTTCAGATTTTATGAAACAAACACCATAAAGTTTTGTCCTTGATTATCTTTTGGTTTGAAAAACGTAACCTGATGCGACGAAAGCGTTGTTTGCGGGCAACTTTTTGATTCCATGCATGGCGCACACGTGGCGAGTAAACCTTAAAATCATGCCGACTTGAAAAGATGGCGACCGCGTTCAGAAATATAACCATACTAGTCATCTATCATCTAACTGTATTTGTCTTCTTCCTCTATTTATTTATTCACCTTATTCATAATCCGTGGGTTTTTGCCTTCTATTGATTGTTTCTTGTTAGAAATAGAATTTAGTTCGATTTGGTGAGATTTTACTGAATTTTAGTTCAAGTTTATAAAATATTGACAAGATAATCATTAATAGTTACGTGTTGACTGAGACTCGATATTATTTTTTTAATTTATTAGATAGCTTTTTTCAATAGCTTTAATATAATCGACATGTTTTTGATACATATTTTCGATCCTACATGCGGGAGTTGGGAAAGATGAGCACTTTCCCTTTTTTCGGTAAGCAATATAACTTTATAAATACATGCGAAATAAAAAAAATGACTTTTCACTTATTTTGTTCCCATAAAAATTGAGGAAAATATTTTATTAAAGGGTGTTCGGGATTGCTATTTAACTTGATAATCATTTTGGATAAAAATATTTATTAGTTTATATGGTGACAAAAAAAATAATCTAAAAAATGTTCGGATTAACTTTTGTTTTTGGTAAAAAGCTATAAGTTGATAAGTTTTTTTTAAATGTTTGGATAGCATATATGTGTAAAATGATCAAAAATGATATGTTTACATATTTAGAAGTACTTAGTATTGCAGTGAAATCATTAAAAAGGGGCGTGAATGAGAAAGGTAACTAGGTTCGGAGATATAAGGGTGGAGGGAGTGGTGTCACTCCCTCGTTTTACCACATTGTCATGTTGGTGTCAAATCACATTTTACTTTTACCACAAAAATGTGGTTTTTTGCCATACCCAAGAAGTTGTGTAACACTTGTTTTTTTTAATAAAAAATTTAGTTTTAATTAAAAACATAATATCTCATTAATTAAAAATAAAACTCATTACATTGCCTTGCTTGAAAAAAAAAACATAACATCACATTAAAAAAGTCCTAAAAAACTAGAAAAATCCTACAACGGATTTGTTTCATTACTTTAACAAAATATAAGCCCAAAAAATACAATACTTGTCCTATTTTGTTCGATATGCTAAGAATAATACAAATTAACCAAAAAACAAAAACAAATTAAGAAAAAAAAAAACAAAAACGGCAAAATAAATACTCCTTTGGATTTGTTTCATTCGTGGGTTTTGTAGCCTAAGAGAAGCTTTAAACCAGCCCACGGATGAGAAATAACCCGGTATATATATATATATATATATATATATATATATATATATATATATATATATACTAGGTTACAACCCGTGGAAACCACGAGTAAAATATTTATAAAACATTTATATTATTAATAAGAGTTAAGTTTGTTTAAAACTTTTTGTATTGATTATTTAAAATTGAAGGACTGAATCGGGTATCTATTTCAAACGTATCACATTGAATTTAAATAGAGATCATATACCATAAATACCATAAAAATCGGATATTAAATGCTGATTTATTTTGACCTAGACATTATAGAAGGTATTATAGAAGATGAAATCAAAGAGGGGTAAATACGGTATTTAACATTGGATGGAATTAGTGTTTTTGAAAGGACACGTGTCAATTTACTTTCGTTTATTAGTTATATATATATATATATATATATATATATATATATAGAGAGAGAGAGAGAGAGAGAGAGATTATAAAGAGAGAAGTGTGCGGTAGTAGAGAGCCTTGGAAGGTAAGAGTGCAATTCAAAAAGCACAGAAGGGGCGGTGTACTGCATGCTGAGGTGGCCAAACCGTTATTATCTTTTTAATCTTAATAAACTATAAATTGTTTTAAAAAGTTAGGAAAATGTCATTTATGAACTTTTTTAAGGGTTTTAAAAATCTATTTTTAAAAGTACTTCTCCATCTGTCAAATATTTTTTAAATTTATTGACATTTTGAAAAGCTTAAAAAAAGTTGTTTAATAATTGTTATTGAGTCATACACAATTTCATATCAGATCCAGTAAGAGACATAAGAGTCTATATAACTGAATCAGGAGCTCTTAATTGTTATATCAAATAGTTTGAAGTAAACTCAATAAAAAAACATATCAAATAAACATTTTTCAAACTCAATCTCTAATATAAGAGGCGGAATAAGAGTGAAATTATATACAAAACATGATTCCTAACCACAAGCGAAGCAAAAAAGACCAAAAATCCATAAATGAGAAGGTGATTAACTATAAGTTTAATAGTTGTGTCTTTCTTTTTACTTAATAGATACCGACTTAATTCAAACAGATATTAGTTGTTGTTTTTTTTTCTTTTTTTTGCTTAGTATATTAAGAATGTTTGAATATATTAAGGGGAAAAAGATGATCCACCTTTCATCACCAAAACAAAACATATTAACATGCTTATCTGAGATCATGATGATGAATCATCGTCATTTTTATCCAATTTTAGTCAAATTAATTAGAGAGAAAAAAAAAACACAAATTAAACTAGTTTCTCTATTATTTTTCTCTTAAGATATAGGGACAAAAACTAGTGTTTTTTTTTTCTTTTTGAATAATCATGCATTTCGTTTGTCTTTTTTTTTGAAACAGCAAATATTTTAAAATATCAAAAGCCCAAACCAAAAGCAAAAAGCAATGGAGGGGAAGGGATACAAACAAACAGACGAAAAAACAAAGAAGCATAGTTACATGAAACTAAAGAGATATATTTTTTTTTAGAATGGGAAGCAACTCCATTCCACCCATCTACCCACCCAATTCCCCCTGTATTTGATCTATTCGTAAGTTGAAGAATTATAGAATCTGCAATGATTGCAGGGGAAGCACCAATTTTCGTGAAAGTTTTTCCATTTCTTGCTAACCATATGTTCCAGAATGTGGCGTAAAAAATCATGTTGAGAATTTCTCTCTTCTTGGGACAATTCCCCCATGAGGCAGCAAAATCAATAAGACCACGTACTGAGTTGAATTGGTTATTGCTAATTTCGCACCATTTTAGAATCCAATACCAGACCTCCTTGGAGAATCCACAATCAGCTAAAAGATGATTCGAAGATTCGTTACTTACCCCACATAATTGGCAATTTTGATTTTGGACTAATATACCCCTGAGACTAAGTGACTGTGCAACAGGAATTCTATCCATTACAGCCCTCCACACAAAACATTTCACTTTTAGGGGGATTAATTTTGACCAGCATATTTTTTGTCCCACAACCTGATTAAGATTTGAATCTACCATTCTCCTTAGAATATTCACTAGGTATGTGCCATCTTTGTTAAAATTAAAACGAAAACCAATGTTAGAAGAAGTATGAAACACCATAGATCCAAACATGGAGTAGAAATCATGTAGTTTAGCCTTCTCTACATCATTGAAATTGTTTGATCTCCATTTCCATAGGAAGCCTGTGCTGCATATACGCTCCATGAATTGACATTTCTTTACTGTTTCTAGCCGGTAGAGATGAGGAAATCTGTTTTGCAATGTATCTCTCCCACACCATTTGTCTTTCCAGAAAAGGATTCTGGTTGAATGGTTTGGAACCAGGGAAAATAGCTCGTCCGGAACAATGTTGTGATTTTGTAGACTCTTGATTGCTTTTGAAATATTACTCCACACCCCACCTGCACTCTTACTGACCAAGTAAGTGGCTCGTTGATTCCTAAGATTGTGAATACTGGTAATCACTTTAGACTATAGGCTTTCATTTTCGTTTCTTAACTTCCACCACCATTTGGTAAGTAAGGCCACGTTTTGGGCTTTAAGAGTACCCACCCTTAAACCTCCATCCTTTTTATCTGTCACTACCTTTGTCCAATCAACCCAAAGAATCTTTTTTTTAACCTCGGTCCCTCCCCATATGTTATGTTAATAGGCTGTGAAAAGGCTTACATGGGCTATGAGTGGCATCGATGTATAAGACTTCTTTTTATGAATATTTCTGAAATTAAAAACTTCAAGGAAAAAAAAAACAGTTTTTCATTCAAAACTCTATGATTTTCATATTGCAAGGCATACCTGCAAAATTACGAATTTCACAACTCGTATATATATATATATATATATTTTTTAATTGTCAAGACTACAATATAAAGTTTTTTTTTATCGTGGAAATGGTTATTGAGGATTTCTACAACAAAAAATATATTATTATCTTTTTTTTTTTTTGTAGATGAAATCAGGACAAAAAAAATTATATATATTTTTCATCGCTTGCATTTATTTTGCCAATTTTCCATGCAAAAGCTAGGAAATTTGTGGTTTTTCAAAAAAAAAAAACTCATTAACGATTTATGTCAGGAATTTAAGTATTTTGATTCAAAAATAAATAAATTAAAATTAACTAGTTAACATGATTTTTAAGTATTTTGATTCAAAAGTAAATAAATGAAAATTAACTAGTTAACATGATTGCGACGATATAAATAAACTATTGATAAATTCCAGGAGCAATACAAATCCAATTCCATTCTTCTGTTTTACTAAGAGAACAAAATCCTCTCATCAAAATAAATAAAAGTAAAAAAAAAAAAAAAAAAATCTTTTAACTATAAGTTGAAATTTAAAAACTATTCAATTCTTTTTTACTAAATTTTGTTCTACTTCTTGTCAACTAAACACATAACAAATCAAAATCCCCTCATATTCAAATTCATGTAACAGATTCCATTCTTTCAAATAACATTCTGCAAACCAAATGCCACATCAGCATCTAGATTTTTCGATATCATTCTTTAACAAGTTGAAATCTGGGTTTTTTATATCACCTGGAATAAATGGAATTTAAATAACAAATGTAAGTAAGGGTAAAAGAGTAAATTTAACTAAGTCTTTGGGACTTTACCTGGACAACTCCAGCAACAAATAGTCCTTCATGCATCAAGTCTTCTGATAAAAGATATTCTTGTATTTGCCCATCTGCTAAAATCCACCATTTTTGTGGTGAAAGTCAAACGAGAGTTGACCTGTAAAAGAAGCATTCAAAGGTCAAAATTGGAAACTAATTTGTTCTTAAAAAGTAAAATTGCATACCTATAAACATAACATATGTAAAATGTAATACTTTTGGATACCTGATAATGCCAAGTGTTAAGCCATCTTGCATGCACTGATGACATCTCAAGGACAAATAAGTCCAAAATGCAACTTCAAAACGCCACATCATCAGTCACACAGCCACAGGGATGCCCACATTTTTACTGATAAAACCATCTTTTTCCATCAAGGGTACCCCCAAAGCAACTTTCTTTATTTCATAAGCTTCTTTAGGCATTCCAGCTTTTAAAAGGCGTGACACCAATGAATTCACAGTAATCGAATCAGGGGCACATTCGTCTTTTACCATCTTCTCAAAAAGACTTATTGCTTCAACCATTCGCCCTTTCATACAATGCCCAATTATTAAAATAGTAAATGTCAACTTATCAGGATTCACCTTTTTCTCCTCCATTTCTTTAAAAATCACATTGGCCTTATCCACATTTCCCGCTTTACAAAAACCATCAATCACAGGGTTGTAGATGAAGGCTTTAGGGGCAATATCGTCTCTTTTATTCAATTCTTGTAAAAGATCATGTGCTTCATTTAATCTACCTTCTTTACACAAAGCATTGATGAGGATTGAAAATGTGCGAATGTTGGGGTGTAAATTTCTTCTACTCATTTCATCCAAAATCTTGAAGGCTTTTGAGACTTCACCTATTCGACAATGGCCATTAATGATAGATGTGAAAGTGATAACATCGGGTTTACAATCAAAATCAAGCATTTTTTTATAAAAACTTGATAAAGAAACCATATTTCCAATTTTTCCAAACCCATCAATGATAACATTGAAGGTGAAATTGTTGGGTTTGATTCCAAGATTGATCATATCATCAAAGAGGAGTAAAGCCTCTTGCATCTTACCTAGTTTTTTGTACCCTTCTATAACTGAAGTAAAAGTCACAACATCTGGTGAACATGAAAATCCATCTATAATCAACATTTCTTGCAATAACTCGTGTGCTTTTTTGACATTTCCAACACGAAAAAATCCATCCAAAAGAGTATTATAGGTGACTTTATCAGGCAAACAATCAAACTCCTTCATTTGAGTGAAAAACTCAAAAGCTTTGTTAACCTTTCTAGCTCTACATAGACCAGAGATGACTATGTTAAAAGTATAAGCATCAGGGGAGTAGCATTGTGATCTTAGAATTACTTTTTCAAAGAAAGCTACAGCTTCATCCACCTTGTTGATCTTCATTAAGGAACTCAGAAGTCTGTTGAACACAAAACAACTGAGGGGATCATCTTTTTCTGATCTGTATTGAGAATAATCATTAATCAACTCCATGGCAACCTCAAGTTTACCAGAATTTATAAATGATGTAATTACAAACCCTAAAAGAGAACTATCTGGTGACAGGTTATCAATCCTCATTGAATCGATTACTAGTTTGGCTGCATTAGGAACACCCGATTGACAAAATGACCTTACAAGAAAACTATATGTTTCAAAGGAATGAACAAGATTCAACGTAACCTTGGTATACTCTAAAAACCTAAAAGCCAAATTCGGGTTGTTCCAATTACTATTCATATGCTCGATAACAGTAAAAGCAATCGAGGAATCTAATTTCTTGCGAAGATAATCGGAAATGTGAAGTTCTGTCACTGAGGATTTACGTCGAACATATAGAGTGCATACAACCTTAACGAACCAAACGGAGGCTGCGCCTCCGGTTTGACCTTGATATTTCGAGATCGAAGAAAATTTGGAAACCCATTGAAGCTTAGAGACGGTGAACAAATAGATTGGAAAAATATGGGTTCTTGGGAAATGATTGGACAACCTCAATGGCATTGTTCCTAAGCTAATTTGCTAATGGAAAGTGAAGGAATCGCAAAGACTCTCACGTACCCTTCAATCTAGAATCAGCAAATATAGCACCTGAAGATTGAATCAGCCACTCCGTCCCCATCTAAAACCATAACAAAGGGTTGGCAAGTTTTGTGTGTGAATTGATGAAGAAAGCCGACCCATCGAATCAACCATCGTCGATGTCAAACCCTCATCGAAAATTTCAGACCAAGCCTAATCCATTATTGTAGCCGTGAATGAATGAATCGGATGTAGGTCTCTGCAGGTCGGCCGAGCTCAGGTGAAGGTCGTACCAGGCAACCTTCGGGATGCTAGGTTCCGTGAAGAGAAATGATATTGGGCTATCACAGCCCAAATACCTTCTACGTCGACAATTGGGCTTACAATGGCAAAATGGCCCAAACCTGATACCCTTGGGCCTTGGTTTCTTAGATCCACCTACCCGAATTGTCTCGGATCCGTCTTGGGCTGCTCTGGTATTTTTTCGGTTTTGGTTAAGACCGGTCAGGTTTCGGCCCGATCTTGGATGGTCTTTTTTTGGTATTGATTCCGTTTAATACCGAACAACCCGACAGTCTTTGTGTTTGTCTTTTTGTTTCGGTTGGAGTTTTTTCTAGTGGTTTTGTTTCATAATACTAAAATAAAAAACTTCAACATTTCATTAATATAAAAAAATTATACTATTTTTTTATTAAATTACATAACTTGTAAAAATATAACATATGAAACGACATAACTTGCACCAATTCATGTCTCAACATGCCCCTTTTCGTACTTAAAATTCTGCCACGAGAGAAAAAAAAAAAAAAAAAAAAAACAAGACTATGAAGCTATGGTGTCAAGGTTTAAGCACATCATCAAAGAATGAAATGATTTCACACATAAAGTAATAATGCAAAGGAAAATGCAAAGGAAACGCAAGAACAAAATGTTGAACTTGGTTCACACGATCAAAATGATCGGCTATATCCACAGACGAACACGAGATAAATGTTTTATTGATACTATCAAATTGCAGTTATTGTATCTAGGGCTGTAAACGAACCGAACGAACACGAGCGGGGGCTTGTTCATGTTCGTTCGTTTAAAATTGCCGAACAAATAAACGAACACGAACGGATAAACGAACGAGTTTTCTTGTTCATGTTCGTTCGTTTAGCAAATTACATTGTTCATGTTCGTTCGTTTATGTTCGTGAACATGATAAACGAACATAAATAAACGAACATAAATGAACAAACATAAACAAACATAATTGAACCTATACGAACATAAATAAACATATAATATAGTAATGTAATCAAACACAATTAAGCATATATGAACATAAAAGAAACTTATATAAATGAACATAAACGAACGTAAACGAACAACATAAACGAACGTTCACGAACATAATCTAACGAACGAGATCATTGTTCATGTCCGTTCGTTTAACTAAACGAACGAGAATTTGTGTTCATGTTCGTTCATTTATTAAATAAACGCACATAAACGAACTTCCCGCCGAACTGTTCACGAACAGTTCGCTGAACGTTCAGTTCGTTTACAGCCCTAATTGTATCTATTTTTCTTAGTGCATGTTACACGAATTCAAGTGATCCATATATACTAGTAAGGTGACATAATATCAGCCATCTGCCAATAAGACCAAGTAACCAAGCCGATAAACACTGAGGAATCTGCCCTTGCCCACGCAAGGATGCGACTCCCCTTGATCCCTGTACGCTCTTTCAGTAGAGAGACTTCATGCTTGGTTTAAACGACGAATCAGACTCCACAACTTAACATATGATACTAGCTTAGATCACGAGTACACCCAAGCCATTTTAGGCTATGACTTTGTATTGATCAAGCTTTTCACTTTCTTGCCACCATTTTAAGGTATCAAAGTTCTCATTTTTTTTCAAGAGTTGCATTACAAACGTAATTGGTTGTTTTATAAATTGAAAGTTCGTGTAAATAAGTTTTGATATATTGAACATTTTTATTAGGAATAGTTATTAAACCGATAGGTACTTACAGATTAAGCATTTTCGCAAGTGGATATCTACTAAAACCTACTTGTCGCCTACGAAATTTACTACCAAATGCTACAACTCCTAATTTGCGGGCTATAAACATTAAAAAACGTAAATAAATATGAATAACTAACTGATTGAGGAAGATCCTTATCATTTTCATCCATTGTTTTTAGAAGAATTTGTGTACACTTTAGAAAAAATTGTGTTAAACCGAGAGGAATTAAATTTTTATTTATTTATATATCCTTAGAATTGAATCAGGCCTTAGGCCAATGATATTTTTGCAGTCCATAAAATTTTCACAACCAAAAGTTACATTTTCACAGTCAACTTTTTTAAAAGACGCTTTGGGAAAATAAGACTACAACCAACGTTGATTTTTGTAGATGCATCATGCGAAGATTGTGTAAACCTGTAAGTTATCAATTTTCACGCCCAAAAATTTCATTTTTTATAAATTACTTTAATTAAAACATTCGGAAGAAAAACATTGTCAAATCATAACATCTCATAAAACTATGTATAATGTCTGAAAATCCAAATCATAAATAGTTATAATGTCAGAGCACAATCCCAAGGAAACTCATAATGCGGAATTTGGGGTGTGTGTATGATGTGCAGCTACCGCGCCGGCTCCTTCCCCTTCGATGAAGAGGTACCTGAAACAAAACTGAAAACTGTAAGCATGAAGCTTAGTGAGTTCCCCCATCGTACCACATACCATACTATCACATAACATACATTCTGCCGGGCAATTCTGGGGTGCCCGACCTACTCGATACGGCCATTCTGGGGTGCCGACCTACCCGTGTCAAGCCATTCTGGGGTGCTGACCTACCCATGTCAAGCCATTCTGGGGTGCTGACCTACCCATCGGTCCTAACAACCAACCCTCGGGGACTATTCCACCCCCTACTGCTACTATCACATATATCACAACATAAACATACTATCAGACATATATGGGGTGTCCGAACTGCCCTTCGGTCCTCACAACCGAACTTTGGGGACTATTCCCCTCCTACTACCACTATTACATATAACATATCATGCCAGCATATAAACATATCATCACATACTGTCAGACATATCTGGGGTGTCTGACCTACCCTTCGGTCCTAACAACCGAACTCTACTACTATCACATATAACATATCATGCCAGCATATAACATATCAGGTAGTAGCAAACCTAGATGATATCACAAAAGACAATCATCTAACATACAACTCCTACTGGTGGGCCGGCATTGTGGCCGTAGACCCACCGCTACTGGAAGGTAACTCACCTCAAACGAGTAGCTGTTGAATATCTGTGCGGGGAATCTCTGACTGCTGCTGCTCCGGAAGTCCTCCGACTATAATCCCCACAAAACACTTAATCAGAATCCCGATATCTACCCTTAGGGTAAAATGACTATTTTACCCCAGACCAAGTCCAAGTCAAAGTCAAGGTCAAGGTCAAGGTCAAAGTCAACTTCCAGTTGACCCGACTCGCCGAGTCGGGTCGTCAACTCGTCGAGTCCCTACCCCCTCAGCTGTCCTCTTCCACATCCCTACTCGTCGAGTTTAGCGATGACTCGACGAGTTCTCCTTCTAACACAACCTCAGATGAACCTTCATCCGACTCGTCGAGCGGTATGAACACTCGTCGAGTCCGTCTTCATCCTAAGAACACGTCCTGTCCTCGACTCGCCGAGTTGTATGAACAACTCGTCGAGTTCATCTTCAAGGGTTGGGAGATTGCCTTGGACTCGCCGAGTCTGTTCTATCACTCGTCGAGTCCCATGAACTCCAGGTCTAAAATGAAGTCCAATGCGTTGGGTCACTCTTTCTGTCCTGCTACCACCCTACTAACACCCAACTGAGTCCTTTTGACCCTCAACAGATATGGGACTCAAAGCCTTGGACTCGTCGAGTCCCAAGAACGGACTCGCCGAGTTGGTCACGTCCTCACGCTAAATCCTCGATTTCTGATGTACAACTCTTGACCAAAAGATAGATCTAGGCTCCTACAATCGTCCTAGCACATAAAGTTACAAACTTTACGTGCATGCATGGGACTTTGAGTCCAAAAGGTCCTAAAACAAGCTCTTGGGTTGCATGGAGTCTTCCTTGGGTGGAAAAGCACCCACTTTATGCCTTGTGACCCCTCAAAGGACCTAGATCCGAAGCCTTGTCCCCAACCATGCTTGCATTCATGGTTGGCTACCTAAAATGGTTTATAAAAGCCCTAAATCTCCACAAAATGGGATCTAGCAAATGAACAAGCAAGTTAGCAACTTTATACCTTCTGAGGACTGAAAATGAAGCACAAACTCGAACCCCTCTGGTCTCCTCTTGTTTCCTCAAGCCTTTCTCCTTCCTTCTTAAGACTATCAACACCAAAATCCACCAAAATGGCTTAGATTGCTTCAACAACGGCTAGGGTTTTCTATAGAGGGTTTCTGGGAGCATAAAGGGACAATGGAGGTTGTATAAGGTTGTTTAAATAGGGTGCAAACCCTCAGATTAGGGTTTTGTCCAGACAGAGCCTACTCGTCGAGTCCGGGACCCGACTCGACGAGTCCATCGCTTAAATCCCGCGTCTCATCCCGCTTCTACTCGGCGAGTTAGGCCTTCAACTCGCCGAGTCCCAGGCCAAAAATGCAACATTACTTAAATAAAATACATACCAGGAAACAGGTGCTACAAATCTCCCCCACTTATTTTAGACTTCGTCCTCGAAGTCTGATGCTCGATCCTGGAATAGCTCTGGATAATGCTCCATCATCTCATCCACTGGCTCCCAGGTCCATTCCGAGCCCTTCCGGTGCTGCCATTGCACCTTCACGAGCTCCACCCTCTTGTTCCTCAGATCCTTCGACTTCAGGTCGAGAATCGCTACAGGCCGCTCAATGTAATTCAGGCTGTCATCGACCTGAATATCCTCTAATGGTACCACTGCCGAGTCGTCCAC